TTATAAGAGTCAAATGACTCTATAGCCCTTTTGACTTTATGCATATCCACATACTCCACCAGGGCGGGAGAGCCCTCCAAGGGGACAGGCTCCTCCCCCTCCCCAGATTCTGAGTCAATATGCTTCTTATGTTCAGGGAAATGTGTTTCCATCAGCACCCCCAAGGACTCCTCGGGGGTGCTGGTGTACCCATCTATCCCTTTCAAAATGGCAACCCCCTTACTGGGATTCCCTTGGATTATTTTCACCAGTGTGCTTACATCCTTGGCTGATCTTGCTGCTGTGCAAAAGCTCCTCCAAGACTCTCTCTTTGCTTCTTTTATCTTTTTACGGTAAAGAGCTCTTAAAGCTTTATATCTATCATGATGTTCTTCCGAATATCTACGTTTATCACCCACCTTACTTAATTGTACTCTTAAGTCAGATAGTTCATTATTCCACCACCTGCAGGGTTTTTTCCCACTGGGTGTTCTAAGCGGACTGACTACATCAAGTCCCTTATTAATTACTTCTTGTAGTATACTATAATCCAGGCATGTTATTACATCCTTTTCAAGTAGTTGACTTTCTCTAATTCCCTTGTCAACTATTTCAGAGAACTTTTCCCAGTTTGCTTTTCTAAAGTTTCTCCTTTGTTCCATATTAGGAATGAAGGAGCCAAATTTAAATGTAAGGTATTTATGATCAGAAAGAGATTCTGTTAGGTCAACTTGCCATTCCTGCAAATTTAAATTAACCAATGCCTCCTCATTAACCATAGTGACATCAATTATACTACTCCCATTCAGGGTTTGGAATGTGGGTTCATCCCCACAGTTAAGTACCGAGATTCCAGAACTATGGATTATCTCCTCCAAATGCTGACCTCTAGGGTTAGTTTCTTCACACCCCCACAGGGGACTATGTGAGTTAGTATCCAGTCCCATCACAAGAGGAATTTTCTTCCTATGACAACACTGAATTAATTCAGTCATCTTTACCTTTTCAACTGGAAGGTTGATGTCCAGGTATATGGATGCCATATACACCACCTTCCCTCCAGATTTAATGGCCACTGTAGCCATGTCCATGTCTGTGAACTCCTCCACCAGCCAGGGTTTCAGCCTAGGGTCCACCCTGATGCAGGCCCTTGGTTTAACAGCTATGGTTGACCGTAGTTTATCCTGGCAACCATCTAAAAGAGTAGGTATCTTACCATATGTATAAGGTTCGGTAATCAGGGCCACCTCATACTCATCCTTCTTACCCAGTTCCACTGCTGCAAGTTTAGACTTGTTAAGATTAATCTGTATAACCTTAATCACAGAACCATCCATTATGTTTATTAAAATCGGCAATCGACAATCA